ACTCTTTACTAATTTGTTTGCTCAATACTAGCAAAGTCATTGAAAATCCAATTAATAAATTAAGGATTAATCAGTCATTAAGTTAAATTACATATATAAAATATAAGACAAAATTTTATTTTTATATTTCATGCATTCCTTTTTATTCTGATGTACAAAATTTTGGTATAATCATTAAATTATAAGCTTAGGTAATAAAAGATATTATAAATATTTTATAAGATAATATTTAGTTATACAAAAAACTTGAATAATTTTTGTATAAAAGATTACATAAATAAAAAGAGAATTTTTATGTTTTTTTTATTAATTGATTTTTTTAATTATATTTAATTTAATTTGAATTTAAAAAAAAAATGTTATTTCTCAATTATTACCATAAAAAATTTATATTTGGTAAATAAATTATTTTAATAGAACCAATAAGGATAACAATTAATAATTAAAATTGAAGTTAAAAGAAAGAAATAAGAATTTTGTTTTTTTAGTATTAAATTTCTATTTATTTTATTTTAAAAGACAAATAGTAACTTGATTTTTAATGTATTAATTTAATTTTAAAAATTATCTCACATATAACTGTTTTATTAATTACCCATTCAATAGCTTCATAAGAGTAATGAACTGATAAATCAATAATGAACATGAGGAGTCTTCCTTATTATTTGTGTTTTATATAGATATATATCTAAGTTCAAGTGTTTATTTATTTTAAACAAAGTTTAAATTAAAATTTTTTACTATATTTTAAAACATATACATACAATAATTTAATAACCAAAATAAATAGAAAATTATTTTTTTTTCATTTGAAAACATTTAAATTCAATTTAATTTTTTTATTAAATTAATTAGAGTCAATTAAATTACATGGTAAAGCCAAAATATATTTCACAATAAAAATATATTGTAACCTACAAAAAATGTTTTATTAACAATATTTTTTTTTTAACCAGCATCAAACAAAAAAAATATAAATTTTAAGATAAAAATATTAAATAACTTTATTTTATTTTTCAACTTATGATTATATATGGTTAACTTTATTTTTTACATGCATATATTAACAATCATTCTAAAAAGGTATATAAATCCTTTATTAACCAATGTTAAAAAAGTAATTTATTATTTTTCCGTTTAATTAATTTTGTAGTATATCGATTTATTAACATGATTTGGAAAGACTTGATTAGAATATTAAACAGGAAAATTATAAAAGAGTATATACAATTTCTTATTCTAATTTAATTATAGTAAAAATTACAATGGCACTACAAGATAGTAAAATTGGTATTTATAGCTTATATTATTGATAATTTATTACTTCTAGAGAATTTTATTTACTTTAATAAAGATTATAATAATTAAAAATATGAATCTTTGTTAACTACTAATTTTATGTAAAAATCTTTTAGTAATATTTTTATGAAAAATAATTTTAATTATTTGTTTTTATTTATTTCAAATTAATTAAAATGCTATAAAATTAAAACAGAGCTCAATTTATTTTAACTTATATCTCTTAAAAAGAATATTAAAAAAAATCCTTATAAAAAAAAATAAATAAAAGTAACTTTTTTTTTTTTAAACTAGAGAATGTTCATAGTCGATTTTGTACATTTCCATGTATCTATTAGCATTTGTTATAAAATGTTTAATAATATATTTCATTCACCAACTAATGAATAAACAAATCAAAAGTACACTAGATTCTACAAATATGATTAGTTTTGAAAGTATTTTTTACTAATAATAAGTAACATTTATATAATTAAACTATATAATGTGAAATAAATTACATATATCATATGACCTTACTATCTTCTAAATAAAATGTATAGCTCAATATTTTATTTATTTCTAATAAAATAATTAATTTATAAGATATTTAAATAGGTTTAATAAATTTAACTTATTTATTAGTCTAAACATTTAAATTATATCGTTGATTATATGTGAAATAATTCTATTACGTTCATCTATAAAAATTATTTAAAAATAATTTTAATATATTATAATTTTTTATTCAAAAAATAGTATGTTTATTTTATAATTTTTTTCTATTAATATATATTTAACCTTCATTTTTTTTTAATTAGTTGTTTAAAACATTTTTTAATGTATCTAGCATTTATGTCTATCTTTATATTTTATTTATATTTTACTAATATTTAAAAACATTTAATGATTCCCTTTATTAATCTAGGAAAATACAAATATTGAAGTATTTATTTCTTATTTAGTCCTTCAAATAATTTTGTATAATAATGGTTAATAAAAGACATAATTAAAATTTTACGAAATGATATATAATTAATAATATAGAATATAACAAATCAGTTATTTACGCTTACTGTTTAATAAAATAGATAATTAAAAAAAGAATAGTGAATGTTTTCATTTTGTGATATTTTAAATTATATTTGTTAATTATGATTATTTAATTTTAATTTAAAAAAAAAAAAAATGTTAATTTTTTTTTCGGCTGTTAAGGGAATTTTTATTCATTTAGAAATTAAATATTATAAATCGAATTAACTTTTGATGTCATGAAAAATCAAATTCAAAATCTAAAAGAAAACAAAAATAATTAAATTTTTATTATTATTTAAATTTTATGTATTTTTAAAATTTTTTTAATAATTTCATTTTGTATTTATTATTTTATTTTGAAGTATTATTTAGAGTATAATCAATAGCATTAATGATAATTTAAGCTTTTAATAAAAATAAGAATAAATTTATATTAATTAAATAAACTCCTCTAAAACAATATATATTCATTATGTAAACTATATATACATAATTTCCTTTAATAGAAAGATATTTCTATAACAGTTAAAACTAATAGAAGTCACTCGACATACTCTTCATTAATTCTACTAAATATCCTCGCATATTTGCTGAACAATCAATTAATATATCGGTATGTTAATGTTCGCACAATATGGTGTATAAAATAGAGTATATATGCTTTATTAATCTATTGTTCAATAATTTCTATATATTATTGAATGAATAAATTAATAAAGAGCATATAGAGTAATCCCTATTAGTTTTAACTGTTATAATAATATATCTCTATTATAATAAAGTAAATTTTATATATATAGTTTACATAAAAGAATATTAATTTATAGGAGTTTATTTAATTAGTACAAATTTATTCCTACTTTTATTAAAAGCTTAAATTATTATTTAAGATATTGATTATATTCAAAATAATATTTTAAAACAATATAATAAATTCAAAATGTGGTTACTAAAAAATTTTTAAAAATACATAAAATTTAAATGACAATAAAAAATTAATTATTTTTGTTTTCTTTTAAACTTTGAATTTAATCTTTCTTGATTCCAAATATTAATTAGACTAATGAATTATAATTCCCAAATAACGAAACCCATTATTCAATAATCTAAAGAAGCAAAAAATTAAATAAAATATAAAAGAAAAAAAAATTAACAAAAGAATAAAAAAAATTTTTTTTTAGTGATATATTTTCTTAAATGGCAAGTATGAGTAACAACTTGTTACTTCCTTATAATTTACTATTATTTCATAAAAAGTTTACCATATCTTTTACTAATCGTATAGGTATTTTAATATATGTATATTTTTGAATATATTTCATGTACACAAAACCATTTTCTCTACTTTGGTCCATCACATTAAAAATCCAAAAGGATTAATAATATTTTCTGTTAGTTACATATCTAAGCTTAGTATTTAATCTCATTTAATTTTTATTCAATCTCCTTTCCATAATAATTTTAGCGTAAAAACCTTTACAAATACTTAATATTAAACTTTCATTTAATTTTTTTTTTGCAATATTTATTTTTTATCAATTTTATTATGATAAAGTATTGTTTCGTGTAAACGAATTTTTCTATATTTTCATTTTTTGTTATTTTAATATTAATATTAATATTTTACTAATTTATAAAACAGTTACATAATTATTAAAATAAATTTAATATTTGTTAACTGTTGTCATTATTACGTGAATTCAAACTTAATTTAGGTATATTTTATTTATAACAATAAAAATATATATATATTTTATTTTTTTATTTTTTATTTATATATTATCATTTGTTTATAAAAATAATATTGCATGTATAATTTTGTTTTATTTATATTTTTTTATTTGCCTAAACTTTGTTATAAGGTTTTAATATATCATTGTTAATTATCTATTGTTATTAAAATAAAGTTGTTATAAATTTTATTATATTATATATACTTTTTTGACAATTAATATCATATAATTGTGATTTTAATTTTAATATAAACAATAATATTATACCAATTTTACGTATATTTTCTTTAAATTCTTAAAAGATTATTTTACTGTATATATTTTGAAGTTTTTATTTATTTCTTCAAAAAAAAACAATTATTTAAAATATTCGTTAATAGATATTATTTCCATTTTATGTTAAATATTTTATAAAAAAAAATTTAATTTTTTGTTATGTTTTATTTAATATAAAAAATTAATTATTTAAAATATTATTAAATAGGTGTTACTACCATTTTATATCAAACATGTTAAAATTTTTAAATCTTTTGTTTACTATCTGTTTTATTAAAAAAAATTAATTTATTATTTTAAAAATTCTTGAATAGATATTATCACTTTATATTAAACGTATTACAAAAAAATTTTTTTTAAATTTTTCGTTTATTATATGTTTTGTAAAAGAAAAATTTTTATAATAATATATATTAAGAAAGAATATTTTATAAATGTTAAATTTTAAAAAAATATATATTTGAAAAAAAAAAATAAAATTAAACTTTAATATTTAAATAAAAAATTAAGCCTAGTTTTAAATTTTTATAAATTTTATGAATTGTATTAGAAACTATATTTTTTATTAGGAATAAAATAAAACTTATAAGAAAATGGATTATTTAAAAAAAAATAGTCCTATAAAAATGTAACGGGAAGAAGTAGGAAAAACATGTACACCTTATTTTAATTTAAGAAATGGCACTTTTATATAATAAAGGATGCGATGATTTTGAAGGAAACTCTGCCAAATGCCATATGACTATATGTCCTATAGATAAATCTAAATATGAAACATCATATTGTCAGGTTCAGTTAAATCCAATTAAAGTATATCGTCCTTTATATAATGTTTCAAATGATATTTCGCAAAATATGTTTAAATATATACGTTATGGGCCATATGAATTTTCTAGGATAATCATTCTTTCAAACAATAATCAAGATGGTATTGTGTTTCTTTATGAATTAAATCCATATAAGGATGATTTCCCATTTAAAACATATTTATGCCGTCTTAAGAATATAAACCAAAGGATAACGTTATGCGAATCCATTGATATAAATTATTTAGGTAAAAATCTGTCGTTTAATTCTTATGACGTTATTAATGGAAAAAATAATCTATCTAGCTTAAAACTTTTAAAAAACCCCAGACATAAAATTATTAAAGCAAAATATAAAAATCTATTTTATAAACAACATTTCTGCCATGTTGTTAAAACAAAATTTGTTACACATCTTCGTTGTGTGAATTATTTATGTGAAAAATATAATGAGGAATATACTTTGTGTACTAATGCGAATTATAGTGGAAAATTAGTATTTTTGGATTATTATAGTTATCAACGAAATATTAAAGACCTTATATATCTTCCAGATAGTTGCTTAAAAAAAGATTCTAATTTTGCATGTACTCCATATTTTTGCCAAAAAAAAGTTATAAATCAATTTACTTCATGCGAATATCAAGAAATTAGTGCTATAAAAAATATAGCAATAAGTCCAAAAAGTTTAGATGTTATATCAACAAACCCACAGAATGTTTATCATGAAAATAATATGAGTGCACCTGAGCTCTTTGCCATTGCTTTTGTGCCTTTTTTAATTCTTTTTGTTTTTTTTTGGTGCTACATATATAAGCTTATGAAAAAGAGGAGAAGTAAGTTATTTATAAAATATTTAAGTATATTATTGCTTATATTATATAAATACTTTATATTTTTTAATTTATAAAAAATGAAAATACAAATAAAAATATTTGCATATTATTTATGTTAAATTTTATATTTTTTCTATTTTTATTAGGAAAATTTTATAATGCCAAAAAGATATAATTAATACTTTTACTAAAAAGATAAAATATTCTTACAAGAGGTATACAAAATTAATATTATAGAATTTATATTTTATATTTAACATATTTATTATAATACTCAAGCAAAACATTGTTACAATAAATGAATTGTAAATCTTAAAATTTCATGTATGTATCTAAATACATATACACAAATATATAAATTAGTTGAAATTAAAAGTTTTTCACACTTGAATTTTTCAAATATAATGTATTTTTTTTTTATATAAATTGGTTTACATTTTTTTTTATGTATTAATTTGTTAAAATTTTATGTTAATTTTTTTAAGATAATGATTTGTTATTTGTATATTCATTGATTTTGCTATATTATTGAACAAACAAATTAGTAAAGAATATGTAAATTTCTCCCTACTAATTTAAAGAATTAAAAATTAATTTTAATGTTATAAACTTGTAAACTGTTTTATAGACATGGTCTACTTCAATGAGAATTTATCATTTTTAAAGGGAATTTATTTTCTTTAATAAAAATTCCATATTTTTATTAAAAATTTAAATCCTCATTAATCGTTGCTTCATTTATATATTTTTTATTTATAATGTTGTGATTAATATTTAGCAGCTCAAATCCATTACTTTCAAGCTAACATAAATAAAAGATAAAAAACAAAATAAATTATATAAATGCTACATAACAAGAAAATTTTATTATCGTTAATATAAAAAATTTTATAAATTTAAACAAAAATATACTACAAGAAGCTTTTTGTTGACAAGTCTTTGCTCTATCTTTTGACCATTTAAATTAATCTTTTAAAAAATAAATATATATTTTTATTTACTTAAAATTTACAATAAGAAAACAAAAAAAATTAACAACTCTTTTTTTTTTGTCTAGAGGTTGCATAGTGATTTATTAATTGCCTGTTTAATTACTTTGCTAGTAATGAATAAGGAAATCAATTAAGATAATATAGATCGAACTCAATTTAATTCTTATTTAATTAAATTTTAAATTTTTAAAATCTATTAACCCAAGTAAAATGTACTTTCTAACATAATTTTCACATATATCCCATTTCCCAGAAAAAAAAATATCTAAAATTTTTTAAGATTGCCATTTTTATTAAAAAAAAATATATTATCATAATATATTATTTTTTTTAATTCAGGGTCATATACCAAAAAAAATATGTAATGTATCTTTTTTTTTTTTAAAAAATGGTAGATATACATGCAAAAAAAATAAAAATTATTATTTATTAAAAATTTTTTTTTTAGTTTACACGCTTTTAAGTATCTATTTTAGAACATACACTTATGAATGCACATTATTTCCGAGATTTAGCATGCATAAAAGAAATTGTTTTTATTCTATTTATTAATCTAAATATTATACAAAAGATGTCTATAATATTATTTATAAATCATATGGCTAATTATTTATTTTCTATTATCTCTTACTTTTTATTATCAAAGAAGTTAATAATACCTTTTATTTATGAGGTAAAAAACAAATGAATAAAGAACAATTAAAATGGTTTTTCCCATTTTTGTTTATAGAGAAATATATTTTGTTGTATAAGAGTAAATGTTATATAATACAATGCACAACATGAAATAGTCTATTTATATAATATTCTTAATTCTTTAAATAAAAATATATTAACTTAATGTTTTCATCATTATCTACTATATAATAAAAACTATATTAACCTATTTTTATATTATATTTTATATATCATATATTAATATGACACTGAACTTTTTGATATAGATAAATATATACAAGGTAATATTCTTCAGTTCCACGGACTACAACACGCAGTTCGAGAGACTCTAGAACTATTTTTTCTTTGATATATTCAAATGCTTTCAAATGTTCTTTTCTCAATTTAAATTTTGTCTTTTTGTTAATAATGGAACTAGTTTAGATGTTCATTCTGAAAAGTCTTTAATATAATTTCTGTAATAAATAGCAGATCCTAGGGATTGCTTTACCTACTTTTTTGGATTGCATCTCTCTGCTTCAATGACCATTTTCAAGCCAAATGCTAAAACATTAATTACAAGTATATCTCTCTTAGGAATTATAAATCTTTTGCATGATTAACTCTCTTCTTCTAATTCAATATTTCAAAATCCATTTTTAATATCTATTTTAGATAACCATTTAGCACCATGAAAAGTTTAAAATATATTTTTTATATATGGAGTGGCATACAAATCATATTGCATTTTTTTAATGTATTTAAAATTAAAAATAAGCAATCTTATATGTTGCTGATTTATTAACTGGGGGTACGGTGACTTTGTCAGAGTTCTGAACAAACAAATTAATAAAGAGCATATAGAGTTCCCTCTATGATTTCTATATATTTATATATATTTTAAAATGCTTTGAACGAGTGATTCTTAATTATGTAATCTACGTCATTCCGCATTCTTTAATATCAATAGACATTTATTTACTTTAATAAAAATCCTTATTTTTATTAAAAATTTAAATCCATATTGAACATTGACTATTAATTAAATGTAAAATGATAGTTTCTTTGTTATAAGTTATGTTCAGCAATTTAACTATATTGCTGTTGAATTAACAAACATAAACAATTAGTAAAAATGCAAATTAATCATATGAATATTAATTACGTGAAAATTTTATTGTTGTATGTATAAAATTTTTCCTCACAAATTAAAAATATAAATACTATGTAAATTAAACTCTTTTATATGTAAATACCTTTTATCTGTTTAAGATCTCATTTTTATTGGTACTAAATCTTACTCCCTATTTTTAATTTCCCAATTTCCTCTCTTTCATTCCATCTTTTTAAAAAAAATAAATATATTTTTTTTACGTATTTCCCATTTATAAAAAGAAAAAGAAAAAAAAATTAATCATTTTTTTTTTTCTTTTTTTGCGTGTGCATGACCAACTACGTATTCTTCATATAGATAGTCCATTTTATTAACAGAAAGGTTAATAAAGCCTTTTATTAACCAGCTGCACATCCTATGCATGTTGAGTTGTGAAAACAATTTTATACATATTATTTAATATATGTTAAACATATAACTTACATGTTTATTTATTCTTATATTTTTGATTAATTACATTAATATTAATTTTATTTTTATAACAAAATCACTTAATTTCTTCATTTGATTTTTATATCATCATGTTTCTATATATAAAAAATATGTTTCTTTAATTTTTAAAAATTTTTGTTAATATAAAGGTAATGAAATAAGTTAAAAGTTCCAAAACAAAGCATTCCATTTGGTTATACTGACATGAGAAATTAACTAAATAACTTAACTAATACTTAATTTTTTACTGTTAAAATTATTTATGGAAATATATCTAAAACTAATTACTATAGATTTTATATTTTAGATATATTTTTAACTTTATTGTATCACTAAATAAGTATTTTATACTATACTTAAATTATACCAAATTAAGACATTTTTAAATGAATTTTTTTTCATGCATATGTAATTACACATTAACCTTATAATTTTTTATATATATTTTTGCGTTAATTACTTTTTAAAAATAAAAAATATTAATTCACGTAAGAAAAAAGTTCTATATTATATATTACATTAAAAATAAAGAATGCCTATACTTAAAATGCATTTTTCCTTTCAAAAATATAACAATATAAAATAAAACCTTGTAATATAACAACCTATAATTTTCCTAAAAGAGATTCTATTTCTATTAATATAATCGTAAGCAAAAATAGAAATCATTTTTTTAAATGTTTGAATAATGCAATCCAAAATAGAAATTATTTAAATCTAATTTTTTATAGATTCATTTTTGTATCGTCTATTACATTTACTTATATTTTTCTGTTAGCAAGACACATAAAAATATATGTATTCATTACATATTATTATAATATGCATATATGTTACAACTTTAATAATTTATAAATAGTCACTAAAATGATTAATTTTAATTTTTTTTTACATGTTACACTGATGATTTATCAGTTACCCTTTCGTTGACTCTGCTGGTATTGAGCAAATAAATTATTAAAGAGTATAAAGAAAAAACTCCACTTAATTTAATTTTAATTTTAATAAAATATTATTCCAAAAATATTTATTTTTAATAATAAGCATCAAATTATACTTTTTAGTTAATTATATTTTTTTAAGATAATTTAAACAACACTTTAAAATGAAATTTCCTTAATATTTTGTTTTAACTTAAAAAACAAATATACACTCCATAATAATTCACTAATATATTCATTCCCCCAAAAAAAAGAAAGCAATAAAAGAAAATATTATCATAATATATTTTTATTTTTTTAAGTCAGTATAGTATACCAAAAAAGAAAATACGTTATATTATTTATTTTTGTTTTTACTTGTAGATTCATATGCCAAAAAAAAAATTATTATTTATTTAAAAACTTTTTTTTGGTTTATATACTTACGAATAAATATTTTGGTGTATACGTTTATGATTGCATATTGTCCCTTCAATTTAGTATAAACGAAATAAAATGTTTTAATTCTATTAATTAATCTAAATATTAAATAAAATGAGTCTATAATATCATTTATAAACCAAGTGTTTATGCAAATTGCAAGGGAGCATATCTAGAGAAATACACTTCAAAAAATATTATTCAAGAATGTTTTGTCATCAATCAAGGTACTATAATAAAACAGGAAATCAAAGTAATTTATATCAAGATATACTTATTTTTAAAAGTTTACGTGAATGTTATTGTAAAGATAAAAAATGATCCTTTTATGTATGCTTTTTAGCTTGAAGAATGAATTGCGCTTCTTTCTTCATCATCAATTTTTCCTCTTGCATTAAAGTATCAAGTTTGGGATAAATGGATCTATTATTAAATTGAGATTATTAATTTTACTAAAAAAAAGGAAAGTAAATATTTTAAAGAGCAAAGAGGGAATGATATTCAATTGCTGAGTTTATAAGATTAAGAAAACTGTACTTAAATATGCAGTCAAAATTTT